AGTTTGTGGGTTCAAGCCCTGCATCAGGCTCTGTGCTAACAGGGTGGAGCCTGCTTGGGATTTTCTCTTCCCCTCTCTCTGCCCCTCCTGCTCTCTCTCTCTCTCTCTCTCTCTCCAAATAAATAAAATAAACTTAAAAAAATAAAGATTTTTATTTCTTAAGTAATCTCTACACCCAATGTGGGGCTTGAATTTACAACCCCAAGAAGCACATGCTCTACCGAGACAGCCAGGTGTCCTAGGGCCTGTCAAAGTTGGAGATACAAAACTGGAGATCTCTGAGTTGATCTATTCTTTCAATTATGAAATGAAAATTTCAGGACACCAAGAGAGAGACCAATCAAAGGATTTCAAAGGCCCTTTATTCCCTATTGAGTTTATCTGTTCAAACACTATTGAGTTGATCTGTTTTACCTTCCCTCCCTGCCTCAAGGTGGGGATATTCAGTACTCCAAGTCATCATGAATTCCTGCTCTGGGGCTGCTCAACCAGCACATGGGACATTTTACCTGCAGGCTATAGGTAAGAGATATTCTGATCCTTGCCATACTCCAGGAAATATATTGTAGGTCTGTGTCTAATTAATCTCATTTCAACTCTCTTCTGATTTTAGATACAGATGGATAACTATCCTCATAAACTAATTTAAGGAGTTTGTTGGTTTTTTTATATATATATATATAAAATCAAAGCTAAGGGTATCAGCTCGAGGATTTGTAAATATTAGTCAATATCCTTCAGGGTGCATATAATCCCTGTTTCATAATAAAAAGAAATAGTGAACTTGGCCTATCTTGTTGATAAAGAACATTGGTCTAAATGTTTCATCACTCCCATTTCCAAGGAGAAGAAGAAAACATATATGGAGGTAGCAGATTTTCAAATCTCACTTGCATAATATCACAAAAATCCCACTCGCACCTCATTTATCAATGACATAGTGAAAAATGTTTCACTCTATTAACTTCCAGTTTTAAAATAAAAACAGAAGTAAAAAACTAGAGCACATGCTGTATTGTAATATGCCTTTTTATGTAAAATAGCACACATTTCTCCAACTCCTATTTTCTATATAATTTTCAATGGCTTGATAGATTCCCTGTATGAATCACAGACAGATCTAAACAATATTCTACTTCTGGGCATTTAGGTTGTTTCAAGTGTTTAGCTATTATAAAAAATGTTGAAATGAACGCTCTAGTATGTTTTAAACACATCTCAGATTATTTCTTTATATCAAATTCTTAGAAATGAAATTACTAAGTTAAGAAGCATGAGCACTTTGCTTTTTCCTCAGTCCACCTTATTGAGGCATATTTAAATGCAATTCACAGACTTTAAGTGTTTGATGACTTTTGATAAATAGGTAGAGTTGCATTAACTACCATGATCAAGATACACATTTCCTCATGCTTTATAGTCAATCCCCTCCCTGATCCTTCATCCATTGTAACCAATGGTTTTATTTACTATTGCTCTAGATTTTCCTTTTCTAGAAATGCATATAAATGGAATAATACAGTATATTTTGTGTCTGGCTTCTCCATTAGCATAATGTCCTTGAGATTGAGCCATGGTGCAATATTGGTAGTCTATCCCTTTTCATTCCTGAGTAGTGTTCCATTTGGTTTTCCATTCTTCAGTTGATGAACATTTGACTTTCCAATTTTTGACTATTATGAATAAAGCAGCTATGAATGTTCACATACAAGTCCTTGTGTGGACATATGCCTTTATTTCCCTTGACTAAATACTACTGAGGACTGGAATTATGGATTACATGGTAAATGTTTAATTTTATAAGAAATTGACAAGGTTTTCCAAAGTGGCTATATCATTTTGCACTGAGTGTTCACCACCACTTAGTACTGTCAGTCTTTTTCATTTAGTGGGTATATAGTGGTAACTCAATGTGGCTTTAATTAGCATCTCTCTGAAGAGTAAAGATAATGAGCATCTTTTCATGTGCTTATTGGATCGTCATTTCTTTTTTGTGAAGTGTCTGTTAGAGTCTTGTAGGGGATTTGAGGGACTTGGGGACTGATCAAGGAAAAAGATAAGAACAGAAGCAGTAACATGTGAGCTTTATTGGGCAGCACTTGGACAGAGTTGCATGAGTCTTCAGGGTTGAATGAAGTCTCTCACAGCTTGAGACTGTCTGGAGGCTGACAGTGAGGGGTCACCATCCAAAAAGGGAGGAAGGCAAGGGAACTCCTAGAGGAGAGGGAAATTGGACAGGGAGCTTACATATCTAGGTGATATGCTCCAGCACTATAGTAGGGCAACTCTGTGTCAGAGCTTGGAAAGTCAGCAGCAATGGTTTGGGGCCTTTATGGCCCACAGCCTATCTTATTGATTGCCAGCAGAGTAGAATTAGGTTACCTGGAGTGTGCAAAGCAGGCAGGTTCTAAATGGCTAAAAATCAACTTGTTTGGGCTATTTTGTAAATAATGAGATGTGTAAAATTTTGAGTTTGGCATTAGTGGGCTTTTAGCTAAAAGATCTCAGACTGTAGTAAAGAAATAAACTTGGAGCCAATACACAAAGACCATCTTTTAATTGTTCATTCTTTTTTTAATGTTTGTTTATTTTTGAGAAAGAGAGAGAGAGAGAGAGAGAGAGAGAGAGAGAGAGCATGGGCAGGAGAGGGGCACCAAGAGGAGTCACAGAATCTGAAGCAGGCTCCAGGCTCTGAGTTGAGCACAACGTGGGGCTCAAATCCATGAGCCACAAGATCATGACCTAAGCCAGTCAGACAATCAACTGACTGAGCCACCCAGGTGTCCCACCCAGATTGCTCATTCTTTTAAAAAGGTCGTCTGTCTTCTCATTACTGAGTTCTAAGAGTTCTTTATATATCCTGAAGAGGAATCCTTCATCAGAAGTGTTGCAAATATTTTTTCCCAGTCTATGGATTTTCATTTTATTTCTTAATAGTGTATTTTGAAAAGGGAGTTTTTTTTTCATTTTAATGAAACCCAATTTATCTACTTTTTTCAACTTTAAAAAATTTTACTTTTAAGTAATCTCTACACCCAACATAGGGCAAGAACTCACAACCCTGAGATCAAGAGTCACATGCTTTACCTACTGAGCCTGCACAGCACCTCTATTTATCAACTTTTTAAAATGCTTCCTATTTTCTGTCTTATCTAAGAAATCTTTGCATTACCTAAATCACCAAATTTTCCTTTTGCTTTGCCTAGAAATTTTCTCTTATGTTTACGTTTGTAACCCATTTCAAGTTAATTTTTGTATATAGTATGAGGCTAGGAATAAGGCTCATCATTTTACATACTGGATATCCAACCGTTCCTACACCACTTATTGAAAAATTATTTTTCCCTACTGGCTTACCTCATCGATTTCATTGAAAATCACTTGATGATATATGTGTACACCTCAACTTTGTTTTGTCCCATTGATTTATATCTCTATCATTGTTAAAATGACATTGTCTACATTACTATAAAGTAAGTCTTGAAATCAGATAGAGTAGGTCTTCTTTGTCTTGTTTTAGCTACTTTAGAGTCTTTGCATTTCCTTATAAAGTTAGCCTGCTGAACTCTGTAAAAATAATTTAAAAGCCTACTGGTGTTTTGATTGGGATTTCTTTGGATCTATAGATCAATTTGAAGAGAGGTGAAATCTTAACAATACTGAGTCTCCCAATCCATGAACATGGTATTTCTCCCATTATTTTGATATTCTTTAGTTTCTCCCAGCAATGTTTTAGTTTCCACTTATGGGTCTTACACATACTTTGTTAGATATATCCCTAAGTATTTTGTTTGCTATTTAAATGGTTTTGTTTTCTAAATTTCATCTTACAGTTGTTGCTAGGACATAAGCATCTTTAAGGCTCTTTGTACTGTCATTTAAAAGGTCATACCAATTTATATATCCAATGAAATAGGAGATTACCTGTTTGACCACACTTTTGTATGTACTGTTCTCATTTAAAGTTTTTTCCCCCTAAGTGTGGCAGATTTAATATAGTTCTACTCTTTCAGTTTACTCTTTTGGACTCTTGGAGAATTATAATCTTCTCCTCTTGGGCAGAGTATTGTTGGACCTCGAGCACAGAACATTTGCTCATACACATTGCTTTAGGGCACACTATCATCATTGGCCTTTAATTTCTTTTACATCATTCCCCATGCCTTCTCCCACTATGGGCAACTTTTTTCTTCTTCTTAGGAAACCATTCCAATGTGTTTGACACAGGTTTTTTAATATTTTCTTGCAAGACACTTTTGTGCCCATGTGTCTTAAATTTATACAAATGGAATTATGTTATAGACTCGTTTGTTACTTTCATGAAACTGTATTTTTAAAACATGCATATGTGGTAGATATATGTAGTCCTTTGCTTCTAATGCATAACTGTATGTATATGCCTCCACTGTATTTTATCTATTCTTATCAACGGTTAAGAAACCCAGATTAGCTTGAAATTTCTGCCACCAAAAAACCAATGTGACTAATATCCTCATATTTGTTCCTTTAAAGACCTGTGTAAGACATCTTGAGGACATATACCCAGAAACAATTTATTAATATCTACATTAAATTTAGCCAGACTGCTCTCCAGAATGGCTCTAACACTTTACCCTAAGCAACAGTGTATGAGAGTTCCTACCCATCCCCATCCCCATCCCCATCAGCAATGACATTATCCATCTTTATAATTTTTGTTAGTCTATTGGGTATAAAGAGATATTTTATTGTGGCTTTAATCTGAACCTCTCTCATTACTGGTGAGTTTGAGCATATCTATGTCATTAGCCTGTTCATATCCTTGGTGCATTTTTCTATTGAGACTGTTAGTTTTGTTTGATGATCTAGGCATTCCTTGTTGTACTAGTAAATACTAATTCCTTGACAGTCTTAGTGAATATATTCTCCTATACTGCTATCTATTTTTAAAATTATGAAATCATTTTTCCCACTATTTCCCCACATATCTATTGACACAAAACAAAGCACCCAAAACCACAGAAGCTTAAAACAAACCATTTTATTTGCTCATGATTTTATGGGTCAAAAATTGGGAAGTGCTCTACTGGACGGTTCATCCGATTGACACAGCAACAGACATGGCAGGTGGAGCTGGAGGATCCATTTCCAAAATGGCTTCTTCACTTACAGGTCTGGTCCCCTGATGCTCCTTGGCCTCTCCAATAGATGTTGTATCCTCCAGGGCCTTATTAAATGACTTTGGCTTTCTCACAACATAGTGATTTCAGGGTAATTGCATCTGTCACATAGTGGCTGGCTTCCAAAAAGCAGGAAGAAATTGTCAGGCCATGTAAGACCAACACCTGGAACTGGCATATCCATTCTACCACATTCTCTTGGTCTAAGCAGTCAAAGGGCCTACCCAAAATTAAGGAAGTGGAGAAATACCACCTTCTGATGACACTGTGACAATATCACATTGCAGAAGAGCAGTCAGCTGGGAGATATTGTTGTGGTCATCTTTGGAAAACACATGATGTATTGACAGTTTTATTTTTTTCTTTTGTGAACTGTCAAGCCATGGCTTAAACTTTCTTTCTTCCTGACTTATAAAACTCTTTATATTACATATCTCCAACCTTTGCATTTCTTTTAAAAAAATTTTTTTCAACGTTTATTTATTTTGGGGACAGAGAGAGACAGAGCATGAACAGGGGAGGGGCAGAGAGAGAGGGAGACACAGAATCGGAAACAGGCTCCAGGCTCTGAGCCATCAGCCCAGAGCCCGACGCGGGGCTCGAACTCACGGACCGCGAGATCGTGACCTGGCTGAAGTCGGACGCTTAACCGACTGCGCCACCCAGGTGCCCCCGAACCTTTGCATTTCTAAAAATTTTGTTCTTTCCAAGTTTTCCTCCTCAGGTAGAAGACTATAAGTCAGTTTCATTTACTTTACTATTAGTTTTCTTTTAAAATCTTGTGTTAAATGCAAAAAAAAATATGTATCTCAAAAAATATATATAGAATCTTATCAAGGAATAAGCCATTTCACAGATATCTTAAAGTTTACTCTATTATATTATAAATTCAAATTCTACAATTATAACAAAGAGTACACAAAAGTTTAAAATCATTGAGGTCTTCATTTTAACTTCATTTTAACTAATACAATGGGCCTTTTCTTTCCATCTTATAAACTGCACATACTCTATACTTTTGGTTAATACTAAAGGAGTAAGTTGGCCACTCTTTTAATACTTCACTGAAAATATGGTTCCCACTCCCTCAAAAAATTTTCTTTAAAAAACAATTTAAGGGGCGCCTGGGTGGCGCAGTCGGCTAAGCATCCGACTTCAGCCAGGTCACGATCTCGCGGTCTGAGTTCAAGCCCCGCGTCAGGCTCTGTGCTGACAGCTCAGAGCCTGGAGCCTGTTTCAGATTCTGTGTCTCCCTCTCTGTGACCCTCCCCCGTTCATGCTCTGTCTCTCTCTGTCTCAAAAATAAACATTAAAAAAATAAAAATAAAAAAAATTAAAATCCAGAAACATGGATTTGAGTTTTTTTAAACCATGAAGGCAGTTTACAAATAATTTTTTAGACTAGTAAACATACACAACTGCTCTCTTCTATTCTTTTACATTAAAAAATGTCTTCTTAAATGGTCTTAATAAAAAGTTCACAAATACGTATTTCATGAGAGTGTCAGGCATGAAGTAATACTGTCTTCAAGTAAACTTGTCTGAAAATGACAAATCATGCATCTCTTCATTAATGGCAGAAAAGGTTTATGACAGAAAAGGAAACCAGAGCCACACGTCCTAGTTTTTTTGTAGGTCAAATTCTGGCACTTGGTGCTGAGGTTTGAGGAAGCGATTAACTCATTTTTTCACGGAATATAGAAACACAGCATGTATTGCATTTTAGTTATAAAAATGTAATATGACAATAATGCTTTATTAAAATATTTAGTATGTGATATGTCCAGTACAGATTTCTTTGAATTTCTGTTGAGATTCATTGGCCTTGAGATTGTTAAGTGTGTATCTTTCACCAAATTGGAGAAGTTTTCTGCTGCTGTTTCTTCAGATGTTTTTTGCTGTCTCTCTTTCTCTTTTCCTTTTGGGATTCACATGAATGTTAGACCTTGTGATATTGTCCATTGCCTCTGTTCATTTATTTTTTTCTATCATTTTTCATTCTATTCATCAGATTGTATAATTTCTATTCTAGCTTCAAGTTCGCTCTTTTCTTCATTATCTCCATTCTGCAATTGACCGCCTCCAGTGAATTTGGGGTTTTTAGTTATTGTATTTTTTAGTCCTAAAATCTTATTTTGTTTCATACACACACACACACACACACACACTATAATCTTATCTCTCTTCTGAGACTCCTTTTTTTTTTTTCAAGAATATTCTTCCTGACTTCTTAAAGCATGGATATTTTGAATATTATGACTATTTTAGAGAAAAAAAAATGGTTTTAAAAGTTGAAACAAATAATTTGTTTAAAAAAATTCCAAAAAAACCCAAAATGTCTTTTAAGTTCTAGAACTACAAAAAGCATACTGAAGGGAGAAAGTTGAACAAAAAGAAAAATAAGGAAGGCAGAGGACAAAGCAAAATGATCTCATATGGTTTCTTGAAGCTTTAAATACAGGTAGAGTTCTTGTTTTGTTTTGTCTAGCTAGAATTCTTGCAGTGGCAGGACATATGCATATGATCTTTTTTTCTTTCCAATGGTAGATGAAGTAATATACTTTTAAGTTTATTTTTGACAGACAGTACATGTGCACATGCAAGCAGGAGAGGGACAGAGAGAGAGAGGGGACAGAGAATCCAAAGCAGGCTCTGCACTGACAACAGAGAACCTGACACGGGGCTCAAACTCACAAACCATGAGATCATGACCTGAGCCGTAGGAAGCTTAATCAGCCAAGCCACCCGGACACCCCAATGAAGTAGTATCTTTTAATCTAGATACAACCTTTTGAAGTAACTGTTGGTATGCTGTGACTTGCCTATAAAAATCATATGATTAGTAACCTGTCTTCAAGAAATAAGGCCCAGCAGAACAGAAATATGTATCCTGTCCTGGAAATATATGTAGGAAGAAGCAGAAAATAAAATTCATCAAAAGGCATGAAAAATTTTTAAAAATTTTCTCCTTCTTTCCAAGCCATATTATCCTCCAAAAGGTGGAGTGGGTGGGGGATGCACTCCATGTTTAAGAGTACTGCTATCTAAAACCAAATGTATTAAACTTGAGAAAACAAAATACATATACAAGTGCACAAAGTACAATAAATAATCCTTCCTCTTCGCATAATGTAAATGAAAAATAAGGGCCAAATTCTGAATGGGTGGTTTGTCCTTTTATATGGGCAGTTTTACCACTCACAAATGTTCACAGATGCAGGAACACATTAATGAGAAATGACTGTTTTCAGCAATGTGAATAGTTATGTACAGGGAAACAAAACTAGAAAGTATTTGTATAAAGGACTCAAACAGATTCCTACTCAACCCCTCTCCCCAAGTGTTTCCAAATTTTGGTTACAATCTAAAATGAAAACTTTAATTTTGTTATTTTCCACATTGTATTATTTGGAAGTAAGTTTGTATTTCCTTTTGAAGGAACACCTGCAACCAAAGCCTTTCATTTATAACACCCGTGTCAAGAATGTTACCACTAGGGCAATTCCACTAGCTCAGTCAGTAGAGCGAGGGACATATTATCTTTTGGTCATGAGTTCAAGCCCCACAATGGATGTGGAGCCTACTTAAAAACTTTTTAAAAACCTTTTTTTTTTTTTAATTAAAAAAAAAGAAAAAGAAGAATGTTACCAGTTACCCTTTGGTTTCACAAAGGGTATCATTTCAAAATGATCATGTTTGACACATCTATCAAATACATATATACAACCTTAGGAAACATATTCACCAGAAGGTAATGGACCTCACCATGTTTTCTGAAACTATACTTGATTTTTGTGTATTCCAAAATGCCTGTCATACCAGCAGAAGAATTAAAGTGATGGAGGTAGAAAGTAGAGTACGAAACAAAGGCCTCAGGAACTAAATGTTAAAATGTCACCATTTCATAGAGATGTGTCTACTTACAAATGCCAAAAAGGGCTCTTTGAAAATACAGAGATACATTTCTAAACTTAGCAAAGTAAGTACCCACTTACTCTCCAAGAACCTTCTAATGAACCACTTGTTGAGTACCCAAGTCACAGGTAACTTGGCAATTAAAAAAGGTATGCATCTTCTTTCAAGCAAATTGTGTTTGTTGTTGGTTTTGAATTATTTTATGATTCAAATCTACAAATTCTAGCCATTCAGTTTTCCAGAGATACCAAACCATCCCACCAGCATTTTATGTCACCAAACAATAACAGATATGAACAATATGCACAATCTTAAAATAAGTTTCCCAATCTTTTTCAATTGGCAAGTTAGTTAATATTCTAAGATACACTGGGGTTAGGTGAGAGGGCAGGAAATACTTTCCTGAGACCTGAATAGAAAGCCAACAGTATTAGTCTATCCATCTAGACCTGAAATCACATTCAACAGAAATATGTATACAAACCCATCCAGTTTTCCTCCCTTCTCCACCATTACTATATTTTCAAATACCAAGTACTAACCAAACTCAGACAAACTCAATTATGAAAACCCAGTTCATCACAAAACATCAAATGACTTTTTAATGATATATGAAAGTGGCCCAACAAAATGACATAGAAATAGGTTTTAGAGGCCTCAAATACAAAGAGAGAGACAGAATAATTTTTTTCCCTCTTACTATAAATCATTTGTCACATGGTCTGCCCCCAAATCTAAAAAAATTGATAGCTGATTTCCAAAAACACCATTGTACCATATTCCAAACCCCCCACTTCACCAAACTTGAATGAAAAAACTTTCTAGACACCAATTCTATTGGGGGGGGGGGGGGAGGGGGGGATGGGGAGCTTTTAAAAGAATGCTGCCTGAGAAATAGCTTTTCATGGCCAGATAGGCCTCAAGTTACATAGACAACAACCAGATTGTCTAAATAATGCAGAATTTATGGAGCAGCCCATAGTGGCAGAAACAGGGAGTTTGTGCAGAGGTGTTAAGACAGGTACTGACCTGCTGGGCAATCTGGTGTTATCTAGAGATTCTGATAGGTGCGGTTACATGTCAGTACACAGTGTCCCTTTTTGCCTCAAGCTGAGAGATTATCCAAAAACAAGTAAGATCAAAGTGCCCCAACATGCAGAAGTACCCTGTCAGCCAAGAGTAAGGTAACACAGCTAAAAGCAAATCTGATTTCCATAAGTACCCCAAAACTTCACAGCAAACAAAGGTGAAGGGACTTGCTCCCTAGAACTAAAGGTAATTGTGATGGTGGTATTTGTTTTAAATTAATTTTTGAATTTAAAGACTGTTCTACAAACTGTTCTACAAACAACTGCAAAACAGCCTTCTGGAGGCTTCCAAAGGTTTAAGAACACATCCAAGTTAATAGAAAAGCATTTCACAAGGAGGAACCGCCAGACACTGCCTCCAAGTATGAGCAAACAAGGGCAAGGTTCACCACAGGCAAGAGAAAGTGAAGCAAACACACTCGGGGGCACGTTCACAACTCATACAATTTCTTACACTTAAAACAAGACAGACAACACTCAGGACCCTACCGTCCACACTTTCCAACATTACAGCTATTGCACAAACCCCACCAGACCCCAGAAAACGAGCCCAACCTAACCCCAAATAGGGTCGTGAGCATCAACGACTACAAATACAGAGTCGAACACGGTAAGAGAAGAGGGAGCGATCCAGGATACAAACCACAACCAAACAATGCACACCCCAAACGCTTAGGCGCTAATTATCCAGATATTTTGAAGACTGAAGGCCAGACGGCCAGGGTCTGGCAGGCTGGAGCCCCTCAAGTAGCTCGTAGCCGCCAGAGGCCCGGGGGCCAACCTAGCGACACCAGGCCCCAACGTTAACCCACCAGACCTCTCGCCCACCTCCCAGGCACACAATTAACAGGTCCTGGATGACCTGGGGGCTGTTGGTGGCCTTCTGACGGCACACAGAGCCCCCCAAGCCGTCCGGAACGACAGAAACCCTCAACTCCTGCCTCGGCGGCGGCCATCATACCAAAAAAAGCGGACTTTTACGACAACTCCCACAATACCCGCGGCCTACAACTCCCAGAGTGCACCGGGCGGCGCCGCGGTTAACCCTGTCGTAGCGCCCGGGTTGGCGAGCCCGTCTCCTCTCCCCCTCCCAGCACCCAATTGTTGCACCAACTTTCGTCCTCACCATCCCGAACTAACTGTGCAAATTCTGTCAAGCAGT